GATGAAAGTGAAAGAGGAGAGTGAAAAAGCTGGCTTAAAACTCAACATTCTAAAAACGAAGATCATGGCATCTGGTCCCATCACTTCATAGCAAATAGATAGAAACAATGGAAACAGTGAGAGACTTTATTATCTTGGGCTCCAAAATCAGTGCAGATGGTGACTCCAGCATGAAATTAAGACACTTGCTCCTTGAAAGAAAAGTTATGACCAACCTAGAGAGCATATTAAAAAGCAGAGACTGCACTTTGCAGACAAAGGTCTATCTAGTCAAAGCTATGGTTTTTCCAGTAGCCATGTGTGGATGTGAGAATTGGACCATAAAGAAGGCTGAGCACCAAATAATTGATTCTTTTGAACTGTGGTGTTGGAGAAGACTCTCAAGAGTCCCTTGGACTGCAAGGAGATCCAACCAGTCCATCCTAAAGGAAATCAGTCCTGAATATTCATTGAAGGGACTGATGCTGAAGCTAAAGCTCCAATACTTTGGCCACCTGATGCAAAGAGCTGACTCACTGGAAAGACCCTGATGCTGGGAAAGATTGAAGGTGGGAGGAGAAAGGGATGACAGAGGATGAGATAGTTGGATGGCATCACCCCTCAAAGGAATGAGTTTGAGGAAGCTCAAAGAGTTGATGATGGACAGGGAGGCCTGGCATGCCATAGTCCATGGGGTTGCAAAGAGTCAGACACGACTGGGTAATTGAACTGAACTGAACTGATGGACCATAGCCAGCCAGGCTCCTCTGTCCATGGGATTCTCCAGGCAAGAATACTGGCGTGGGTTGCCATGCCTTTCTCCAGGGGATCTTCCCAACTCAGGGATCAAACCCACATCTCATGTCCCTGCATTGACTGGCTCTTTACCACTGAGTCACCAGGCAGTGTATTTAAGAATCCTGCATTTTTTATCATTAGCACCTGGGATCAAAAATACAGGGACTTTAAATATCCTATGGGCTTCCTTGGTGGCTCAGATGGTAAAGAATCCGCCTACAATGAAGGAGACCTGGGTTCAATTCCTGGAGAAGATCCCCTGGAGGAGGAAATGGCAACCCACTCCAGTGTTCTAGCCTGGAGAATCCCATGGAGAGAGAAGCCTGACAGGCTACAGTCCATGGGGCTGCAGAGTTGGACACACTGAGCCTCTAACTTTCACTTTAAATCCACTGTGTTAGTTTGCCTGTTTCTCAGCAGCTGGAGCCAAAGGGAGGAGACATGCTAGGAAGCAACAGACATGTTCTAAAATAGCATTAAAGGCCTATGATTAAAATACCTTTAAATCTGTTCAATAATACCACATGCCAGCTCAACGTGCCTCTCCCTCCCAATTCTCTTTCTCTGTTTCAACCTCCAGAACCTGCATGTTTGCCGAAATCACTGCAGTTTGAAACAAAGAGAAGATAATCCTTCTCTAAATAAAGTCATTGAGAGAGTGAAAAAGCCCAATCTCTATGCTCCGATTGTGAGGTTGAGTTTTATATTTCTGCTGGTACATTGCAAAATATATATTTTCAAGTAACATGTTACCAGCAGGTCGGTGATTTATTCCCGTGTGAGAACTGCAGCCCCCAGACACCCAAGCTAAAACACATCCTGTGTCCTTAACAGACTTCAGTCCAAGTAACAATCATAGATGAGAGGTGGTGCTCCCCCAAGAGACTGTGCCCCGTGCCAGTTTCCACCCTGTCTGTAGAAAACTCTTTGGTCTTTAAGGAAAAAAAATTTCTACAAGAAACAGCAGGCAGGCATATTTTTCTCATTCAGAGAGGGAACTGCTTAAAGAGAAAAGATAACATGTGCCGCTCTTTGCCCGTAGCTTGCTTTGACTCCACAAGCGCTGATGTCATTGTCACAAATGGCAAATCTTCCTGTGCACAATGCCTGGCTGGGCAACTGGAGAAATCTACTGAAGGCCACAGTTTCAACCTCAAGAGAACTGTTACAGATCAGGTGAGACAAGAGGGATTGCTTATACCATTTCTTCTTTTGATAATTCTGTCCTTTCTCATGCCTGAGTAAGTCTAATTAAAATGTAGGTTTCAGCAGTCTCTGATGGCTAAAGACCTCAAAATCTGAGGGTTAAAATAAAATCATTCCCTAATCACTATAAATTAAATTAAACTCATTCATATGTAACTCAACTGACCCCTTCTCAAGACACTGCTTGATAAATAATTCAAATACAGTATATTTTGCAAGCTTTTTTCCCACAAAGGTTTACTAATAATTGATTGATAGCAAAGTAAAATTATTAACCCCATTTTAAATACAATAAGAAATCTGAGGGTTAGAAAATTTAAGTAAACACATAAAATCAGGAAGTTAGTAATATAAAATAATTCAGAGCCTACTATTCTTATTACTATAAATACATCATGTTGCAGGAAAGACTAGCTCTTTGGCAATGTTTTAGTCTGTTTGGGCTGCCATAACCAAATGCCATAAACTGGTAGTTTATAAACAACAGAAATTTATCTCTCACAATTCTGGAGACTGGGAAGTCCAAGATCAAGGCATTAGCAGATTCAGTGGCTGGTATAAACCCAATTTCTGATTCATTTCTGGTTCTTAGCACTTGCTAACTATAACCTCTCATGAAGGAGGGGTGAGGGATCTCTCTAGGTCTTTTGGATAAGGACATTAATCTCATGCATTTAGTCTCTGCTCTTATAACCTAATCCTATCCTAAAATCCCCCATTGAGGCGGGGAGGTTAGGATCTCAACATATTAATTTTAGGGGGGTACAAACATTCAGTCCATTGCAGGCAATATCTGTAAATTAAATTAGATGGTTGATGCCAAAACTAAAGGTGAAAGTTCATCTGATTCTTATGAAGTGGTGTGTACACTTAGAAATAATCTAAAGAGAAAAATCACTAAGCCTTTGAATAACCTCAATCTCTATTTTCAACCACAAGTTAAAAGTGTGCTATTTTTGGTCATCTAAACTATAACAATTTAGTAAAAAATCACATCTATCATAATTAATGTGCTTTTTTCTTTTCTTTTGACCTTCTTAGTTTCTAGGCCTGGCTAGCTAGCAACTATATGTGTCCTCTCAAGGGAAGACTCTTGAGAGTCTCTTGGACTGTGAGGAGATCAAACCAGTCAATCCTAAAGAAAATCAATCCTGAATATTCATTGGAAGGACTGATGCTGAAGCTAAAGCTCCAATACTTTGGTCACCTGATATGAAGAGCCGACTCGCTGGAAAAGCCCCTGATGTAGGAAGGATTCAGGACAGGAGGAGAAGGGGGGTGACCGAGAATGAGATGGTTGGATGGCATCACTGACTCAATGGACTTGAGTCTGAACAAATTCCAGGAGATAGTGAAGGAAAGGGAAGCCTGGCGTTCTGCAGTCCATGGGGACACAGAGAGTCAGACACAGCTTAGCAATGGAACAACAAGCTAGCAACTACAAATACCATGAATGACAATGTGTTCTCTGACATATCTCGCTGGAGTTTTCATTCTGAAGCACATTAAAAAATGGTTCCCTTTCCCTGATTTCCCCATTTCCTCACCACCTCCCCAACATGTCTCCACATTCCTGAAGTAAGCTACATAAGGAGAACAGTGCAAATGAAAAAGGTACAGTCTGATAGAAAGGCCCTTCCTCACTCCCCTGGATAGCAGCAGGGATTTATTTACTCAAAAGATAAGGCAACAAGAAGTTAGGTTAGAGCTGCCCATTTCATCACAGGATCATTCAGGCAGTTTCTGAAATTAGGTCTCCTGGTCTCTATAAGTACCCTATTTTTATATCCACAACCAAGGCGCCTTTTAAATATGTACAAAATGTCATAGCAATAAGTAAAAATCCAGCTGCTCCTGGCTCCCATTTCTACCTAAGGAACATGGTTGTACATAGGTAATGAAACTCTTGACTGACAGGCTGTCAAAGAATCATTTATTTTCATTCTCTGCACATTAAAGAAAGAGCTTATGAACCTATAAAACATGCCAATATGTGCATTAAAGTAAAATCTTCCCCATTAGAGGTTTGACTTTCAAAGCAGTGTAAAGGTCATATTTCAAAATTAAGCAGGTGCAAAGAATCTCAAGACATCAGCGATTCAACGCTAGAAACTTGAAATGGTTCAATAAAATGAAATATCCAAATTTTATTCACCAAGTGAAAAATATTTTTGACTCACCACAGAAAATGAATGATTGACAAGCCAGCTAACAAGGTAAGCCTGAGACTTGAAGAAGCTAGTCAAATTACCTCGTGTTACAAGTGATACAGAATGAAAAGCCACAATTAATCTAAAGAAACAGATGGGGGGGAATTTTAGCTAATTTCTCAATGTAGTAGAAACATCTTTTTGGTGATACATAAGGAACAGAGTGAGGAAATCTGTGCAAATTTTAGAGTTAGAAACCGGGTACATTTTCTTTAGTCTGCTAAAATGTGATAGGGTGATTTTTTTTTCTTTTGAATTATACTAATCTCATATCAAAGTAATGAAAGATGATTCTTCTCACACTTCCTTCCACTAAAAAGTCCAACAGACCTTTCTGTTCACTGCTAAGGAGCTCGTTAAACATTTTTGTTGCTGTTAAAGGCCAAAAATGTTGGTAGAACTTGGCTGAAAGTAGAACTACTTTGATGAAAATTCCCACTAAGAACTTTATGTGGAAAGATCTGGTCCATTGATCTAATTCAAATGTTTATAAAAGTCAGGTCAGTAATAATAAAGAAAGCATAATGAATAATAATATAAAATAAAAACACCTACAAAGCACTTACGATGTGCTAAGTATGGTTCTAAGTGACACACATACACTAATTCAGTTAATACTTACAACTCCTTTAGGGTACAGTGGTCTTTTATTTGCAATTTAATGGTAGGGGAACCGAAATAAAGAAAGGCTAAATAACTTGACCAAGCCATACAACTAATGGGTGATAAAACTTAAATTTTCTTTTTTTGTTTTTTTGGTGTGGTTTTTTTTTTAAAAAAAAACAAGAACTCGGTTTTTTTATTTCATCATTTCTTGCATTTGAAGTACTCCTCGATGACATCCTTGGCCTGAGATTCTTTGCCATAGTCCTTAACTACCACACAACTGCAACCAACCACTTTACAGGGTTTTCCCTCTCTGCCAATTTTACAGAGGCCCACCCATTCTTCTAGTTTCTTCTTGTCATCAACCTTAATCAGGTTGATTTGATGCTCAGCACAAAGGGCCTCCACCAACTTGACATACACAGGCTCATCACAGTTAGATGCAAGCACACACACAAGGGCTTGGCGCTTGTCTAAAGCTTTCGCAGCTTCACGAATTCCACGTGCTAAGCCATCGTTGATGAGGGCGGTCTTCAGCATCTCTTGCAGAGCAGTATTAACGTCCATTACAGGTCCAGAAGCAATGCCTTCCTCGGCCATGGCGGTGGGTTACGGGTGGAGCCGAATCTTGAATGCACCCGAGCCTCCGCCTCCGCGCAGCTCCGCAGCGTCAGGGAAAGAGCTAAAGCTTGGATTTCAACTTAGACGATCTGATTTTTGGAGTTGTACAGTGAACTACAAATGTAGGAAAAGCAACAGTGAAAGAACGATGACGTAGATGCTCAGTTGTGTTGTTGAAAATCAAAAGGGAGTGATGGAGATGGTAGCAATTGGAGAAGAAACCATCTGTGAGTCAAATTCAATCCTTGGATCACTAGTTTGGAGCCTTAGGCCTTAAGAAGATAAGGGCTACATTGCCCAATGTAGGATATGGTGAACGCTGTAGGCTTGAGTCTGTTCCCAGATGGTGCTAGTTACAGAACATGCCTGCTAATGCAGGAGCTATAAGAGACGCAAGTTCAATCCCTGGGTGGAAAAGATCCCCTGGAGAAGGAAATGCCAACCCACTCCAGTATTCTTGCCTGAAAAATCTCATGGACAGAGGAGCCTGGCGGGCTACAGTCCTTACGGTCACAAACAGTCGGACACAACTGAAGCAACTTAGCATGCATGTAGCCTTGAGAATTAAGCAGGGTGGTAGTTCAAAGTCTCATGATAGCTTGACTCCCAGAGACTGAAGAGATGGATGAAGGTGGGTTTTGTGAAGTGGCAAATACTGGCCTACTTATTCATAGTGAAATAGGAGGGGGCAGGGCACAACTTTCAAAAGAATGACACAGCCTGTGTGCTTAGTCATTCGGTCATGTTTAACTCTTTGCGATCCCATGGACTGCAGCCTGCCAGGCTCCTCTGTCCAGGGGGATTCTCCAGTCGGTTGCCATGCCCTCCTCCAGGGGATCTTCCCAACCAGGGACTGAACCCAGGTCTCCCACACTGCAGGTGGAGTCTTTACCGACAGCCACTGACATAGCCTGAGGACATGACATAACTGATCAGAATCAAATAGGTGTAAGATGGAGAAGGAGGAGGAGGAGAAATCAACTTCCAGTAGACCTTGAACCTCATTATACACTCATTGTAATACATCAGCAAGCTAAATGAGACACCCAGCAGCACCATGACAATTCTGAGGCTAACCATGAAAGGTCAAAAAGTGGCCCAATTCATGGAAATCCCCACCCCTTCCCCCAAAATAATTGGACTGCTCCTCCAACTTATTAGCCTATGAAATTACCCACCCCTATAAAAATACACAACCCTATATCCTGGGGCCACTCTAGTCTTCTTCTGTCTATGGAGTGAGTTTTTCTCTAAATAAATTCAATTCTTGTTGCTGTTGTTCAGTTGCTAAGTCGTGTCTGACTCTGTGAGGTTGTCATAGCATTTCTTCCAAGGAGCAAGTGTCTTTTAATTTCATAGCTACAGCACAGTCTACAGTGATTTTGGAGCCCAGGAAAAGAAAATCTATAACAGTTTCCATTTTTTCCCCTTGTATTTGCCATGAAGTGATAGGACCAGATACCATGATCTTTGTTTTTTGAATGTTGAGTTTCAAGCCAACTTTTTCAATCTTGTCTTTCACCTCATTAAGAAGTTTTTTAGTTCTTCTTCACTTTCTTCCATTAGAGTGGTATCATCTGCATATCTGAAGTTGTTGCTATTTCTTCTGGATGAATCACAAGCTGGAATCAAGATTGCTTGGAGAAATATCAACAACTTCAAATTCATGTTACCTATCATTTTTTCTCTCACTGAATTCTTCATAAAATGAGACATCAAGAACCTGAGCTTCATTAGTTCTTAATACCAGGTATGTGATCTTAGTTATAAGACCATGTATTAAAATCCCAATCTTGGTTTTGGCTGGGTTCAAGTCCCAATCTGAATTACACAGTTTCGGCAGCATCATAAAAAGGACAAGATCTAGGACATTGAATGAGTTCCTATGGAAATGGAGGCAAACAGAGCCTGGCCAAAATTCCTAGAACAACACTTGCTTCTTAAGAAAGGATGCTACCTATAGAGTTGGACACTTTTCAAAGATATCTTATGATCAGACAAAAAGCAATGGCAGTTGTGATGGCCATAAACAAAAAGCCAGGGCTTGCTCTTATTTTTCCTGGACTCTCTAAATCTCAGGTATGGACTAACCCAAGACCTAGGGAAGGACCTGTGAAAAATAAATGATATTAGACATCACCCTTGGAAAGCAAAAACTAGGAGGAAAAAAAAAAAAACACTCCAGTAGTAGGGCAAGACCTTGTCTGCCCTCTTTCCCAAGAATACCCCAGAATTGAATACATGTCTGGTATATAATGGCCATTAAATGATTATCTGTTGAATAAATAAGCTAGATTTATTTTTATCTAAAAAAAAAACACTACATGATATTTCTTACTCTCAAGTTTTAGAGGAATTCTTACTCTACTCATTGCTTATTTATAAATTACTTTTAAGCTAAATGGGACTTATGCAATAAACCTCTATTTTACGGATGAGGAAATGGAATAACCTAAGAACTCAGTCAGTTAGCATGAGACTCAGGACTAAAAACCCACCCAATTCTTCCTCACTCTCACAAAACCACTACACACTTCCCCTCTCAGACATCATTATGGGGTCAAAATAAGACTGCTGGCTGGATCAAAAAACATCAGAAAATTACAGTCCTTTTGCATTACATATCTTCCACTCATCCACATTATTGTGGTCATGTAAAAGTAATTCCACTTTCTATATATGTCCTTGTGGTCTCACTTTCACACATGTCATTTACTTCTACTCAGAATGCTTTCCCACATTACTTCTTTGTAGGAAACAGTTCCTCTTGGAGCTCAAACATTTTTCACCAAGGAGTCTTCCCTAACTAACCTAAACACTGAAAGTTTGTGGTGGTTTAGTCACTAAATTAGTGTCCGACTCCTGCAACCCCACGGACTGTAACCTGCCAGGTTCCTCTGTCCATTGAATTCTCCAGACAAGAATACTGGAGTGGGTTGCAATTTCCTTCTCCGGGGGATCTTCCCAACACAGGAATTGAACTCGGGTCTCCTGAGTTGCAGGCAGATTCTCTACCAATTGATGCTACAAGGGAAGCCCCCATTGAAAGTTTACCTGTTTACAACCAAGGACCACTAGTTAACCAAGGGGCCCTTCCTACATTCTAAGAGACAATTAGAGTAATACGCTCTAAACTAAGTGGAACACCTTTTCTATATAGATAATCCATGCCATTGCTTTTATTTACTCCTGACTCATTCAAGCAGACATTTCAAAATACAAATCTCTTACCAATAATTTCTAGTGAATCAGTGTTTTGTTTATTTTTAACTCACTTTGGTGGGGCTAACTTTTGTTTGTTTATTTGTTTGCTTGCTTATTGCAGTTTTAGCATTTTATCCTTTTCTTACTCAGAGGTATGATATATATCCCTCCCCAGTTGGCTTCTGGAGACAACAAGAAAGTCACAGAAGTGGGAGTGCTAAAATACAAAGTTACAGTTAGAAGTGACATCAGCATCATGGCAGCATAAGATGTCCCTCATTTTTTGCTCCCCGCCTCAACAACAAACTTTAGCAACCATTCTCAGACAAAAGTCTTTTTGAGGGAACTATTGGATCCAGCATCATATACTAAGGGATCAGGAGGACTCTTCTTTACCTGGGCATCAGGTAATAGGCTGACAGACCTCAGTCCCCCCTGGGAACCCTGAAGTGGCCCATGAAACTGCTCCAGCCTCTATTGTCCTGCAGTCCAGGAACCCCTGGAGACTTGGACAATTCCTCATAGATGAGAGAACATTTATGGAAGTATAGGTTTCCAGGGAGATTTTCCAGCACTCTCTTGGGCCAAAAAATACCAACAACAAATAAACAAACAAAAACCCTTTGGACACATTGGAGGAGATAAGAGGAACAGTCTGACAAAAGCTGTGTCACCCTCTCCCAAGGTATGACAGCCTAGGGTCAAGAAAGTTCTTCCTCAATCCTGTAATTTGTCCTGTAAAGGAGAAGGAGAGCATGTGAGTAAGCACCAACTTCCCCAACCGTGTGGGAAGCTACCAAAGGAGTTCACTTCTCTCTTGCTCCAGCTAAAGAGAGGCAAGTTTTGAGCAGAGAAATGACATGACCACTAAGAAGAAACTGATAGTGGGCAAGAGAACTGAAGGGATAACAATGAAATAGCCACTGCAAGAATCTCTAGGCCACAACTGTTTGTGGCTTGCTTTATAATGGTAGAAGTGGTGATGGTGAGGATTGGTCAGTTTCTGGATATTTCTTGGATAGCTCCAAGGCTACGGGCTGGAGCAACTGTCATGATGGAGATAGCATTAATTGAGGTCAAGAAGCCTGTGGAAGGAGTCTTCAGGCAAAAATCAAGTGCTCAACTTTGAACATGTTACATGTAAAATGATTATCAGATCTTTAAGCTGAAATGTCAAATAGGCAGTTAGAAATGAGTATGGATTTAGAGGAACAACCCAGGTTATAAATTGCTTAGTCTTCAGTGTACAGATTGCTTTTAAAGCCACCAGACTTGTTAAGACCTTGAGCATAGAAAGAAAAGAAAGTTCAGGTGTAAGTTCTAGAGCACTTCTATGTTAAGGGTTTGGTAGGATGAGGCAGAACCAGCAAAGGAAACTGAAAATAAAGGGTCATTGAGCTAAGAGAAAGCCAGTGACCTAAAGACCAAGAGAAAAAAGAGCTTCAAGAAGAGGGGAATAATCAATTGTACCAATGCTGCAGACACATTAATAAGATGAGTACTGAAAAGTGACCACTGAATTTAGAAACAATCATTGGCAGAGGCTGAGTGGAATGAGGAAGGCAGAGGATTCAAGAGAGACTGGGAGGAGAGTGATTGAAGACACAAAATATAGAATAATAGTTCAAAGGGTTTTCCTCCAAAGGAAAGTGGAGGAAGAGAGCAGTAATTTAAAAGTAAGTGAGGGTCAGGACAAAGTTTTTCACAATTTAAAGGATTAACTGCATAAATATTGGTAAAAAGGGAATGCTTAATTTTATATATAAATTTATATT